TCGTCATGGGGCAGTCACAAAGTATTTTTCTATGGCCAGTAAAAATATTTACACCAGAGGGCCTGTAAATAATGCTTGCATAAACATTCCCGGTTATCATTTAATTGACAAAACAACTATTTTGCAGAACATGATGTTAAGAAAGATGCTACGTCATATTCTTTCCTTTAACGATGTGGTCAGGTTAATTTTAACTACAGAATTTTATTGAAAGCAAGGAGTCATAGGCTTCTAAGATGGAGTTCTTTCAGTCATGGTGGAGTGCAGCGAGTGTTACCCCTATGCTGTCTTAGAAGTTTCTGGATTCTTTCTGCTAACATGCACCTCTCAAACTCAAGGTTAACATTTTTGTAACAGGAAAACATTCTGGGAGGAGGAAATAAATGTCTTTCAACTGCAGCTCTGACTAAACTGTTCAGCAAAAAACAATGCGTGCCTTTAGGTGGCACAAAACCAGGAACCAAATCCCAAAGACAATTTGCAAAATACCTGTCATTTAGGCTCATTGGGGATAGAGAAGCAAACAAACAAACAAACAAGCAAGCAAAAATCCCTAAGTACAGAATAAGGAAGTGTGTTTAGGGAACATTTCACAAGCCTCATAGTTGGAAAGCCCATGTTTTGCTGTTGGATTGTATCAGCGCTCACTGACCACGGTACACTGAAATGCACTGGGTTACAGGACAGCAGATATTTCCCATCTATTGAACCCATCACAATACTAGGTTGCCCTTTCCTAGGTCAATGGGGATTCATTGTACCCCTCCCCCGGCACATTCCTCACCCCACCCACATAATAGTTTTAAAAAGTCACCCGTATCCGCTTTGGGAATGAGGGCCTTCCTGTGTTGGGCTGTACTGTTTGGATAAGGTTGGTGGCAGTGGGCTGTCTCCAGATGGGTAGGCATTCTTTTGGGAAGAGACATGCTCAGTCAGAAAACCTGACTGGTGGTTGCCCAGGGCTGGGAGAAGGAGAAGTGGGGAGTTCTTCTTTAATGGGTATAGAGTTTCAGTTTGGGAAGATGAAAAAGTGGAGATGGATGGTGGTAATGGCTGTACAGCACTGTGAATATACTTAATGCCACTGAACTGTACACTTAAAAGTGGTTAAAATATTAAATTTTGTTACGTATGTTTTACCACACACACAAAAAAAGCCTCTGTGGAAACTATAGGTCTTTTCTAAACAAAAGCATGAATTATAGATTTTTTCCAAAAAGTTAATTGTTAGCCATTAAAATCAAAAGCAAATTAAACCAATCTTGTTAACTAGAAAGTGGGATATGAACAGTAGTACAAATAATGGAACACAGACACCTCGATGATTTCATGTTTACTATATAAATATATTTAAATAACTATTAATGTACCATAGAATATGTACCGTTGATATTTTGAAAAGGAATTTTTATTGTAACTCAATCTGAGTAACTATTAAACTGCCATTCAACCTGAGAAAATTAACAGTACTTCATAATATATAACTGACATACGTTCCTGCAACTGCATTTGTTGTACTATCCTATGTATTTCAGGATTTTCAGGTCTCAGCTGAAGAGGTGATTCCACTTGCTGGGTAGAGGAGGCATCAGATCTTCTTACCTTTTTTTTTTTAAAGCAATAATCAAAACATTAATAAATTACATATAGACTGAATGTATTTTTTCTTGGAATAAAAGTCCAGCATGAGTAATAGAATAAACACTCTTGGCTTTTGAAAAAATTAACACATAGCAAAATAACAGAAAACCCAAATGTATGGCTATTTTTACTAACACGATGGTATTTGAAGGGATCTTCACAGGTCCCCTGGTTTGATGAACTTCTGTAATGGACTCTGCCTCTGATGTGAAACTATTTGTTCTGTGTACTCTACATACACACAGTATGTGCTCATTAAACTTCTGTTGCTTGTGAGTAGTATTGCCCCCAACAAGGAATATATCTGCCAAGAAGGACTCCCTGTGGGTAATTGGGCCCAAATTCCTAACTAGAGTCTAGAGACCTCTCAGGCATATTGCATATCCAGGAAAAGCCACAGACTCCACGGGCAAACCTCCTGCACTGTGTTCCTGCAAATCTGAGCCAACCTTTATAAAGGAGTTCCTGGAATCCTATTTCAACCAGTGGGCTGATACCTGCTCTGTCCAATTGGAACTGAACAGGTACATCTTCATTTGCATCTTTACTGACCAGTTAGGGCAGCTCCATAACAACAGAGGCACAAATCCAGTAATATCTAGCTTAATTATACATTGGTGGTGACTTAACAAGGTCCCTTGTGAATAATAACTGAGAATTAAAATTTAATTATTCTTTAAGTTTGGTCATATTACCAAAAAAGAGTATTAGCATATATATGGTTTTATTAGTGCCACTAATTTAGAAGGTATTTAGCCATATCCTACTTAACCATTCTCTTGTTTTGAGACATGCAGATTGTTTTTAATATTTTATTATCCTGAGCTGATTCCTACAGCCAGTCGGCCTGGTGGTCAAATCCCTCTAGTGTTAACTACAACAATTAAAGCTTGGCTAGAACAAGACTGCGCACAAAGACCACAAGGGGGTGCACCAAGAAAGCATAAAAGATGCGGAGACAAAAAAACATGACAGAAATGGAGGATATGGAGCTAAGAATCGCAATTTTGAGGGCTTGCCATAAATTTGTGCAGAGCCTCACGAAAACTAATGAGACCCTCGATGCTACGATAAAGAAATTAGAAAGTAAGCATACACGGACTGAAATAAAGAATATTATACCCAATAGCAGACCAGAGGAGCTCAAGAATCAAACCAAAGATTCGACAAAAAACACCCAATTGGAAAAGCAAAATGAAAAAAGAATCCGAAAGTGTGAAGATAGTGTAAGGAGCCTCTGGGACAGCTTCAAGCGGACTAATATCAGAATTATTGGAGTGCCAGAAGATGAGAGACAGCAAGATATTGAAAACCTATTTCAAGAAATAATGGCAGAAAACTTCCCCCACCTGGAGAAAGAAATGGACTTACAGGTTCAAGAAGCGCAGAGAACCCCAAACAAAAGGAATCCAAAGAGGACCACACCAAGACACATCATCATTAAAATGCCAAGAGCAAAAGACAAAGAGAAAATCTTAAAAGCAGCAAGAGAAAGAGGCTCAATTACCTACAAGGGAATACCCATACGACTGTCAGCTGATTTCTCAACAGAAACTTTGCAGGCCAGAAGGGAATGGCAAGAAATATTCAAAGTGCTGAATACCAAGAACCTACAACCAAGATTACTTTATCCAGCAAAGCTATCATTCAGAATTGAAGGTCAGATAAAGAGCTTCACAGATAAGGAAAAGCTAAAGGAGTTCACCACCGCCAAACCAGTATTATATGAAATGCTGAAAGGTATCCTTTAAGAAGAGGAAGAAGAAGAAAAAGGTAAAGATACAAATTATGAACAACAAATATGCATCTATCAACAAATGAATCTAAGAATCAAGTGAATAAATAGCCTGATGTACAGAATGAACTGGTGATTATAATAGAATCAGGGACATAGAAAGGGAATGGACTGACTATTCTTGGGGGGAAAAGGGGTGTGGGAGATGCGGGAAGTGACTGGACAAAAATCATGCACCTATGGATGAACACAGTGGGTGGGGGGTGAGGGTGGAGGGTGGGGTGGGAGCTGGAAGGAGGGGAGTTATGGGGGGAAAAAAGAGGAACAAATGTAATAATCTGAACAATAAAGATTTAAAAAAAAAATAAAAAATAAAAAAAAATATTTTATTATCCTATGCCAGAAGCTGGTCCACCCTTGCTGCTTGACACAGTCACTGCAGGGAAGAAACATCTGCACAGCTTATGTTTCAAGGGACCTGGCATATATGGCATATGTTTGCTCCCCCTCTTAACACTATGTGTTTTAAACAGGACCACCTCCCTGAGAAAGGTTGTTTCCCCAGGTGAGAATTTTTCCCTGGAATTAGGGAGGAAATAAAACCCCTTAACTAAGTGCCAGGCGGGTAATTAATCACTTTAACTACGAACAATCACGCTTAAACTACATAATCTTTACTTAGGATAATCTCCTTCAGTTACTTCCTTGTAGCTTACTAGAACAATAGAGTAACCTTGGAATGGAGATAAGAAACGCCCTAACCTTTGGAAGAGAATGGATAGGATTAAAATCAACTGGTATAAATACAGATGTAACAAGAGAATAAAGAGAGAACCTGGATGGTCACAAGATGGCAGCACTGAAGGAGGATTAGAGCTACGGGCTGTCATGCGGGCGGGTGAGCGACAGCAGCAAGGTGTCCATGTTTCATGTGAAGCTCACCGACAGTGCCCTGAGAGCCTTTGAGACCTACCGCGCCAGCCAGGATTCTGTTTCACTGAGACCATCAATTCGATTTCAAGGAAGCCAAGGGCACATCTCCATCCCCCAGCCGGACTACCCCTCAGAGGCTCGGATCTTCTCCTTCTACCTCTCCAACATCGGCTGTGACAGCCCCCAGGGCAGTTTCGACTGCATCCAGCAGTACTTCTCCAGCCATGGGGATATACACCTGGACTGCTTGGGTAGCATCCAGGACAAAATCACAGTGTGTGCCACCGATGACTCCTACCAGAAGGCACGGCAGAGCATGGCACAAGCCGAGGAGGAGACACGGAGTCGGGGTGCCATCGTCATCAAGCCCGGAGGCCGCTACCTGGGCAAGAAGGTTCAGGTTAGGAAACCAGCCCCACGGGCGATGGATACTGTGCCCTCCCAGAAGTGGGCGACCCCCATTAACCTGGCAAATGTCCTCAAGAAAAGTGGTGTTAGCGGGGGCGTTGGGGTATCTCAGAGGCCTTTCCGTGACCGGGTGCTACATCTTCTGGCATTGAGGCCCTACCAGAAGGCTGAACTGTTGCTGTGGCTACAGAAGGATGGCCTGGCGCAGGCAGACAAGGACATGCTGGACAGCCTCCTCCAACAGGTGGCCAACGTGAATACCAAGGATGGTACTTGCACACTGAAGGACTGTGTGTACAAGGATGTGCAAAAGGACTGGCCTGGCTACTCAGAGGGGGACCAGCAGCTGCTAAAGCGCATGCTTATCAGAAAGCTGTGCCAGCCACAGAGTGCAGGTGGCCTCCCTAGAGACCCTGCTGCCGCCAGCCCCCCAAGAGAGCATGGGAGCTCAGTCTCACCCCCCCTAGAAACGTCCTCAGCCTCCTGGTTTCATTGACCCCGTGGCCAACAAGAAACCAAGGATATCGCACTTCACCCAGAGAGCTCAGCCCGCCGCCAATGGGAAGCTGAATGTGCCCCATGGCCGGGAGGCCCTACTGCGCACCCTTGGCCCACTGGCGGGCACAGATGCCCACCTACCCCCACGGCTGGATCCTCCGAGGGCACACGACCCTCTGGCTGATGTCAGCAATGACCTGGGCCACAGTGGCAGGGACTGTGATCACAGGGAAATGGCCACCCCAGCCCCCACTTCCTGCCTTAGCCTTCCCCTGCTGAAGGACTGTGCCCAGCCCAGCAGGCCCCACGGTGGCTCGTCTCACGGCAAGTCCAAGAAGAAGTCCAACAAGCACAAGGACAAGGATAGGGCAGCTGGGGACAGGCATCGAGCCAGGCCGCCAGAACTTGTGTCTGGCTCCCTTGGAACCCCGCCAGTCGATCTGGGTTTAAATGGGACCTGCAACAGCTCAAGCGTCCCCACATCAACTTCAGAGACACCAGACTACTTGCTAAAATATGCCACTATCTCCTCCTCAGAGCAGCGCCAGAGCTACAAGAATGACTTCAACGTCGAGTACAGTGAGTACCAAGACCTGCACACCCGCACTGAGCAGGTCACACGGCGGCTCACGCAGCTGGACGCCCAGCTCCGGCAGCTCTCCCAGGGCTCCAAAGAGTACAAGACTACTCGTGGGCAGATTTTACAGGAATATCGCAAAATCAAAAAGACCAACTACAGCCAGGAGAAGCACCGGTGTGAGTACCTGCACAGCAAGCTGGCCCACATCAAGAGGCTCGTTGCTGAGTATGACCAACGGCAGCTGCAGCCTTGGCCCTAGCCCCAGCCATAAGGCAGGAGCTTGCCCTCCCTGGATTGACCCTTCTGGATGGCAAGGGAGCTGGGGCTTTGGGGGTGGGGAGAGCTAAAAAAAAGGGGGAAAATTTTTATTTAACAAACATGAGGAAGACACGTTAAAAAAAAAAGAGAGAGAGAGAGAGAGAGAGAGAGAGAACCTGGCTGGAGATCATAGCTACAGAACCTGGCTAGAGAGAACCTGGCTATGATGATCACCTGAGCGCTGCCTCCATGTCATTCATTCTTCGCCGACTCCGTCCACACCTATGGAAACCCTTGGACCTGCTGGGGCTGGACCCCAACAGATGGCGCCCGAACAGGGACTCCTAGGTAAGCCCCCCCGCACTCGGGATGGATAGGACTCCACCGTAGGAAGAGGGTGGATAGTCTTCGCTGACTCCGTCCACACCTTTGGGAACCCCTGGAACAGGATTCCCTTAGGTAAGCTCCCCCCCCATTGAGAACCCCCACACTCAGGACGGATAGGACTTCACTAGGGTGCTGCAGACCCCCCTATAGAGGATAAATAGGGTAAAGAGGTGGATAGTACAGAACTTAGATTGAGAAGATGTGCCATACTGAGTCCAAAGAAAGAAGACTCTGTATTGATCTTTAGATTGAGAAGATGTGCCATACTGAGTCTAGAAGAAAAAAGACTCTGTATTGATCTTTTAACACATATGCTTGCTAGCAGAGGAGTTAAGGTTACTCCCAGTCAGACGGAACGTTTTATACAAGAAGTGTGTCCATCCTTTTCTGAGGAAGGAAAGGTAAATGTAAAGGCATGGGAGAAGGTAGGCCCAAGGAGCCTTATCCTTAACCCCACTGCAGCCTTTCCACCCCGGGAAAGTGCAGGATTGGCAAGCTCTCCCTGGGGTGATAGATCAGGACTCAGGTAATAGCGGAAAGCGCCAATCCTACTCTTAAAATGGATACAAGAGAGCATTTGGGGTTTTACTTAGTTTTAACACATCAAAGTTAGCTCTTGACACAAAAAGAAAAACTGACAATTCCATCAATATAAACCTTTTCTATAAAAACAAAAAAGGGGGAGAATAATGTTATATGCTAATTAAAAAAAAATACAATGCAGAGGATTGTACAGCAGCCAAAAAGCATCAGGCCTCCTGTACAATAGCCTCTGCCGACTCAGCCTGGTAGAAGGATACACAAACCAGACAAGAATTTTACCAGATCTAGTAATGATGTGGGGAAGAGGTTGTGTTTTGTATCTTTCCAGAAGGAGCAGTGCAGACAATTTGGGTACCAGATCATTACGTGCGTCACCACAATAGACCCAGAGAAGCTCCTTGTCCCATCGTCATAAAGACTTAGAGTTGCCCCGATGTACAGACATTGGAACCCTGATCTAACTAAACCTAAAGCCCTCGTCAAATGGAGAGACTTGCTTACTGGAGCCTGGAAGGGACGTGATTTACTTTTAACCTGGGGGAGAGGATATGCTTGTATATTTCCACAGGACGCAGACTCACCTGTGTGGATTCCAGACCGTCTAGTCTAGTCCAACCTTATGTCTCACCGCCCTCTGTCTCCGCCTCACCCTAGCACACCTGACCAGTGCCCGTCTGCAGGGCCTGGTTGGGCTCCCCGTGGGTTCATGCAGGAGCCAGTCTGCGAGGCCGGCCGGGAGAGAGCGCACTGCCTGCCTGGCTTCCGTGCAGCGCCACTGGGTGGCCCAGAGGCCCACACTGCACCCCAGCCCATGGAACCCTGCCACGCTCACCATATCTCCACATGGGGACTTGGGCGCTGTGATTCAGGCAGAGGGGGCGTGTGGGGACCCAGAGGCCCAGGTGCTGCCCAGGGCCCAGAGGTCAGCTGGGAACCTGCCCTTCCACGCCAGATGCTCATGCTTTGATCACTGGCTAGGCTTAGGGACCGAACCCATGCACGAATTTCATGCACTGGGTCTCTAGTCTTAAATGATTTTGCAAATATAGATCTTGGGGTAGGGGGCACTTTTTTTTTAGTCCTCACCCAAGAATTTTTTTAAAAATTGATTGTGGGGGGGGGGGAGAGAGAAAAACATTGATGTGAGAGAGAGAAACATCAATCAGTTGCCTCCCACACCTACTGGGGTTAGAACCTGCAACCTAGCCATGTGTCTGGACCAGGAATTGAACTGGCAATCTTCTGGTGTACAGGACAATGCTTCAACCAACTGAGCCACCTAGCCAGGACTGTAGGGGGGAGGGGGAGAACTTTTAATCAAATTTAGATTATTCCTTAGGATTGATTCCAGAAGTGGAATTATTGTATCAAAAAGAACCCTTATGGTTTTTGACATGCATAGACATGCAGCTTTTTAAAAAGGCAGAAACAATTTATATTCCCGCCAATAACATATAAGAATTCCCATTTCATCACATTCCTATCGGAACTTTGTATATTTTTTTTCTAATCTGCAAATTTGATAGGCAAAAAAATGCTATTTTGTCTTTGTTATTAATGAGGTTGAGCATATTTTCCAGTTATTTTAAAACTAGTTTTTTTTCCTTTTATGAATCATCTATGTCTGTTAACAAAGCATTCCTAATCAGACACTCTGCTTACCAAGTTTTAAAATGTTCCTTAAGATGCTGTACAGCTTTTTCCAGCACGTAGCTAACAAAGTTAGAACTCTCAGAACTTTCTTCAAGAGGGATCTTGAGTGTGACATTGGGGGAAGGCAGAATGCTTAAGTCTATCATCGTTTCATCTTGTTTGGAAATGTTTCCTTGGTGAACATCTGGAACTACCTGAGAAGAAGGATTAAACAGTAAAAGATCACTAAATCCCAGTGCACAGTCAGGATTAATTTACTACCACATTAGTCAGGATAAGATAGGTTGTGCTGAGGTAACAAATTTGCCCCAATATTCCAGCGATTTCATACCACAAAAATTATTTCTCACTCATGCAACATGTCCATATGGGCTCTGTACATAGACACTCAGGACCCTCATTGACAGAGGTATGTCATCTCCTAGCTGTAGCATATGGAACACGTGGCTTTCTTTGTGGCCTCGGTAGAGAAAGAGACCCTTCACTATATCTCAGACTAGAAATAACACTTGCCATTTTGTTCACATTTCCTTGGCCAGAACTTGCCACCTGGCACCACTTAACTGTAAGAGAAGCTGGAAATGTGAGTGAGCAAATGGAACATTTGGTGAGTGCGACTGACTGTGCCGCAAACATTAACATGATGCACCAAGTTTTATACATGTGCGTGTGGTTTTTATAAGAACCAGTAATCTGAAATGCATGATAGTTGCTGTCTTAATGAATTCTCAAGTGCCTATACTTTGACTTTAACACTTTAAATTAAATTTTTCTGATATGCAACTTGATGTAATCTTTTTTTTTTAAATATGTTTTATTGATTTTCTACAGAGAGGAAAGGAGAGGGATAGAAAGTCAGAAACATCGATGAGAGAGAAACACCAATCAGCCGCCTCCTGCACGCCCCCCACTGGGGATGTGCCCGCAACCAAGGTACATGCCCTTGACCGGAATTGAACCCAGGACCCTTGAGTCCGCAGGCCGACGCTCTATCCACTGAGCCAAACCGGTTCTGGCAACTTGATGTAATCTTAAGAGAACTATTTGAAATTTTTTTTCAAATAGAAGCCCTTATAAATAAATTAAAGCAAAATATTAAGCAACCTGGGCATGTGCCCTGACCGGGAATTGAACCAGTGACCTTTTGGTTCATGGATCGATGCTCAACCACGGAGCCATACCAGCCTGGTGAAGTGAAACTTTTAAGGGGATGAGGCAAGCAAGATTGAGAAGAGGGAGAAGCCAGTCAAGGGTGTGGCCTCAGGTGACCTCTAGCCGCAGCCTGATCCTGCAGGGAGCTCCTGGAGCATAAGTAGCCCCAAGGACAACGCTTTGGAGAAGCTGCAGGCTGAGCAGTTAGCAGCAGCACCTGCCGGAGCTGGTAGCTGGATCCCCAGAGATCGGGACAGGTCACCAGCATTACATGCTGCCCAAAATATTGCATCTTCAATGACTCTGTCCAGTCATTTTTGTATCCAAGTCTTTTTAGGAACCTGTCAATACTGACCTCATCAGGAATTGCTAACCTGCCTCCTTTGTTTATTAACGTAATGTGTGTGGCAGGGCAAGGGTAGTCAGGAAAGAAATGTAGTCACTGTTATATATCATATAAAAGGAGTTACTGCCCTAACCGGTTTGGCTCAATGGATAGAGCGCCGGCCTGTGGACTCATAGATCCCAGGTTCGATTCCGGTCAAGGGCATGTACCTTGGTTGCGGGCACATACCCAGTAGGGAGTGTGCAGGAGGCAGCTGATCGATGTTTCTCTCTCATTGATGTTTCTAACTCGCTATCCCTCTTCCTTCCTCTCTGTAAAAAATCAATAAAGTATATTTTAAAAAAAAGGAGTTACTGATTGAATATGAGAGACATGGTATAAATCCATGGCAATATGTTTTTATGTAAAGGTATATGTTTAATTGTCAAGGTGATTTAGCAGCTTATTATGTAAAAAACTAATAAGAGCTATAATTTACAGAACTCTTGCTTTGTATAAGGAACTATACTAATTGCTATACAGATGTACATTTTAAAGTAGCTATTATTAGTCCCATCTTTCAGGTAGAAAAACTGAGGCCTGGAGAAGTTGAGGAATTTTCCCAAATTTACTCAGCTGGCTAGTTTCTGAGTTAGCTTTTGAACTCAAGTTGCTGAATCTGAGTCTTCTCTCTTAAAGTCGATATTGACCAAGTTTTATTTATTTATCCTCACCAGAGGATATTTTTCCATTGATTTTTAGAGAGAGTAGAAGGGAGAGGGAGAGACAGAAACATCGATGTGAGAGAGACACATTGATTGGTTGCCTCCTGCACGTACCCCAACCAGGGCTGGGGAACCTGCAACCAAGGTATGTGCCCTTGACTGGAATTAAACCCGGGACCCTTCCGTCTGCGGGCTGATGCTCTATCCACTGAGCCAAACTGGCTAGGGCAGTGATGGCGAACCTATGACACGCGTGTCAGAGGTGACACGCGAACTCATTTTTTTTTGGTTGATTTTTCTTTGTTAAGTGGCATTTAAATATATAAAATAAATATCAAAAATATAAGTCTTTGTTTTACTATGGTTGCAAATATCAAAAATTTCTATATGTGACACGGCACCAGAGTTAAGTTAGGGTTTTTCAGAATGCTGACACGCCGAGCTCAAAAGGTTCGCCATCACTGGGCTAGGGCATATTGGCCAAGTTTCCTCACGGTTCCCTGTATCAGTTATAGCACCACAGCTCTAAGCAGAATTGGCCATCTCTAGACTACCAAGTATTTTGTGTTTTAAATTGGTTTTCTTTCTAGAGTTTTCTGTTTTCTAAAGACCATGTGCACTACATTATATCAGGTTAGCCTGAATACAACCACAATGAAAACATAAATAGCCTCTTACAGTTTTTTTTTTCAAATACACAAATCAACAGAAAAATCAACGTATGCACATGTAACCTCCATATCTGTTCTTGGGTCCTCCATTACCTTTCTGGAACTGAAGGTGTTCTCAGTTCCTAGAGTCTGGTTTGCCAGTTCAGCCACCCAGCCAAATTCCTCTCTCATCTTCTCCATCAGATACGCAGTGTCCTCCAGATGATGTTGAGTCACCTGGAGAATCTGCACGTACTGCTGATCGGATATGTTGACCAATTTAAGGGCCTCATCTACTTCTGTGTGTAGTTCGGGTACATCAGGACAGTCTAACAAAGAAGAAGGTAATGTGGTAAAGGAAAAGGTCCATGACATTTGGAGTTGGGTGATGTGAGTCTAAATCCTAGCCGGTTAGCTTTCTATTTCCAGCCTTTTGACCTTGAGTGAGTTTTCAACGAAGTAAAATGGGCGGGAATGAAATAATGTAAAGTGCCTGATCACACGGTGTACAATGTAGACTTAACAGATGTTACTCTTCCTTTTCCTTCTTTCTGTGCTGTCTCCGAAAGCCATTAGGGCTGCTCACTGATATTCTGATCAGGACACGTGGGGGAACACACTTCCTGCCACCTTGAAGTCGAGCACAACCTTCTTCAAAGAGATGTGTCTCACTTCGGGAGGAAGCCTTTGAGAACAGTTTGGGGTTTATCATGTTCCCTGTGGTGGAGGCTCTGTCATCCTAGTGAGGAGATGTGGAGCAGGACCTCGCTCAAACTGTAACTGGCACGCTGTAGAGTGAGAAATACTAGTAAGCCTTTGTGTTTACAAGCCACTAAGATCCTCCAGTTCTTTGTTATTATTGCCAAACAGCCCATCCGAACGGTAACAGTGTTATAGGAACTTATATAGGTGTGCTGATGAGTGGGTTAATATTGTGTAAAGATTATCTGTATACTATGGAAGTTTCCATGTGTTAGGGCATTTTAAATCATAAGAGATCGGTGTTGTGGAGAAAGACCAGTCTCGATAAACTGTCTTTTGCTGTTTACTAAAAAACCGTGCCTTCAGCAAGATAGGAGTGGGGAGAAATCCACCAATCAGAAGCCAGGTAACTACCTCATCTCAGGTCTTAAACATCCTTTATTAGTTCTTTTATCATTATTTTTTAATCCTCAGCTGAGGATATTTTCCCATTGATTTTTAGAGAGAGTGAAAGAGAGAGGAAAGACAGAAACACATCAACTGGTTGCCTCCCACATGAGCCATGACAAGGGCCCGGGGCCCGGGCCCAGGAGGAGCCTGCGACCAAAGCACATGCTCTTGACAGTTGAACCCGGGACCCTTTGGTCCTCAGGCCGACGCTCTATCCACTGAGAAACCCGGTTAGGGCTATTGGTTCTTTCTGATACAAAGGTATAACCCAAGGTTACCTGGGGCCTCACACTTCTGCAGATTATTTTGGGATCTGTAGGAGAGGGAGACCTTTGTACTTGTAGGGAAATACAAGTGTAATAGTGTATGTTTGAAAAGTTATCCAAGAAACTATTATGAAAACAAAGTGAGTCACAGATATCAAGATACAGTATACATTTGAAAGGACCTATGGATATCCTTTTAAAGTGTCTTCATTTGCAATTTCAGTTATATTTTAGAATAGTGATATAAAGATTTTTTTAATTGTGGGGGGAAGGTGGTGATTTCCCTCGTGATCTTAGGCAAGTAGATTTCTACAAGGGACGCTCATTTACCCTCTTTGAGAGTGCCTGGGTGGGCTAGGGCGGCCCCGTGCACATTTCGGGGTCCTCAGCTGGCACCTCTCATCTTCCAGAAGGCCAGCCGGGGCTTTTCCACAGCGTGATGCATAGGTTTCTGACAGCAAGAGGACAACCCTTCGTGTGCAAGCACATTTCAACCCTCCACTTGGGTCACATTTGCCAGTATCTCGTTGCAAATACCTTTTTCTAGTTTTATTCAGAAAGGATTGACATATATCACTTTATAAGTTTAAGGTGTACAGCATGATGGTTTGATTACATATATTTTGAAAGGATTCCTGCATTATGCTTAGTTAATGCCCATCACCTCACATAGATACAGGAAAGGGAAAAGAACATGCTCCTGTGGGAGAACTCTTAGAATCTACTCTCTTAACAACTTTCATATAAGCCACAGAGCAGTGCTAACTAGACAGCATGTTGTCCATTACATCCCCAGCACTTATTTATGATATAACTGGGAGTTTGTACCTTTTAACCACCTTCCTCCAACCCCCTCCCCCATCATCTGTATTAGTTTATGACAATCAGAGATTATTCACTAAAGCTTCTAACTGGATGAAAGGAGGTTAACGATGAAATGTTTGAATGGGACTGTTTTTGTAAGTGGTTAGTACATTAGTGTGCATTTTTCTCTTATGAAAACTTCTGTTTCTGTGTGCAGTCTCACACTATGACTTAAAAAACAGACACTTGAATAATGAGCATCATTACCCCGTCAGACATCTTATCGGATCCTCAGAACATCGGTACGAAGGAGCTATATTGAGAGACCCAGTTAGCAATTCAGAAAAAATAAGGCCCTCCTGGCTCTAACAAAAAGGTCCCGTTTATATTCAACCTCTTACTCCAAGCCCCTAGCCACACTTTTTAGAATGTCCTTCCTGTAGGGCTTTGGCAAACAGAAGCACCAGAATCAAAAGCTCTTCTTGGCTTTTGTAAGAAATTTTGTGTTCAGGTCCTAGTAGGGTGACGGAGCAACTTTATTTTTTTATTTAATTCTTACCTGAGGATATTTTTCCATTGATTTTCAGAGAATGGAAGAGAAAGGGAAAGACAGAAATATCGAACCCGGGATCCTTCAATCCGCAGGCTGAAGCTCTATCCACTGAGTCAAACTAGCTAGGGCCAAAGGAGCAACTTTCCTTCCCGGAAGTACAGGGAGGGGAGGGAAGGGAGAAGGGAAGCGGTGTGGGTCCTATGGGCAGGGCAAAGGGTTTCTCTCCGCGGGTGGAACAAAGGCCATGTTAGATCTGGGAGAGCAAAGTCTGCTTGGGGCTTGTGAGGAGCAGCCACTTCCCATTTTTAAATACCAGTTAGTAATTAACCTGCCAAATGGGAAAAGTTAGTGCCACTTTCAAAAAGAAAAGAGAAATCACTTGGCTAAAACTTTGCTTTCTTAAGGGGAAGATTGCCTTCATCGGTGGGGTTTCTTTCCTTCCTTCCTTCCTTCCTTCCTTCCTTCCTTCCTTCCTTCCTTCCTTCCTTCCTTCCTTCCTCCCTCCCTCCCTCCCTCCCTCCCTCTCCCCCCCTCTCTCTTTCTTTCTTTATTTTCTTTCTCTCTTTCTTTCTCTCTTTTTTTCCTTCTTTCTTTCTTTCTTTCTTTCTTTCTTTCTTTCTTTCTTTCTTTCTTTCTTTCTTTCTTTCTTTCTTTCTTTCTTTCTTTCGCAAGAAAGAAGGAGTTGTCCTAATTTGTTCCTAGTTCTCTTTTGCACACAGTTGTGTTGGTTTGGTCTTCAACCATAAAAACTTGCACAGGAACAGGGAGGGAATTTTAAAAAGGGAAAGAGTGATTTTACCTACTTTTCAATAATAGAAGTTTATAAACTACACTGAGCACCTCCATCTGGAGATGAGCTTGCTAAAAAAGTGCTTGAAGGGAAGCAAATAAATCCATGATGCTTGTAAAAGTGAGTTGCTTGTAAAAGTGAGTTGTTGTTTTTGTTGTTGTTTTTACCTCTGACCAGAATACTATTGAAACCCTGAGAAAATAATAATTATTTACCTTCCCATAGATAATCCTGACATTTTTGGCATCTTGCATGACAGTGGAAACATTCTGACGAATTCTGGCCAAGTTCTCCACATGGTCCTCTGTTCCACACAGGCACTGTCTTTGAACTCAGGCCTCCAGGGTCAGCGTCTGCAGGTAACGCAGCATTTACACGTCAGTGTCATTACAGTCTGCGCTTCCAGGGCGTGGATAACAATGCCATTTCTTTTTCTTTCCTGTGCTTTCAAAATCGTCTTCCTGTACTTAATCATAGGCATGCATGTTGGTGCAACCACATGCTAAGACAATTTGACATCTATTGAAAGTTGTATATATCCTCTAATGCAGCAATCTCATTACAAATTATTATTACTCATCATTATGAGTACACTCCCTTTGCCCCACCCCCAGAAAGAATTTTATTTTCTGGAAGGAATCATGAGGAATTATTAATGCTAACTGTTATTCAGAGAGAGACTTGATGGGGTAGGAGAGGACAGCTTTCATTAATTTTGTTTCTTTGTATATATGAATTATTTTAAATTTAGCTTATTTTTAACACTATTATTTCTGATGTCAGTGGGGTTAACTAAATAGGGGATTGTGCCTGGCTGGAGTGGCTCAGTGGTTGAGCATTGACCTATGAACCAGGAGGTCATGGTTCCATTCTGGGTCAGGGCATATGCCTGGGTTGTGGGCTCAATACCCAGTGTGAGGCGTACTGGAGGCAGCTGATCAATGATTCTCTCTCATCATTGATGTTTATGTCTCTCTCTCTCCCCCTCTCCCTTCCTCTCTGAAATCAATAAAGATATATTTTTTAAAAAATAGGGAATTGTAAGCTACTTTTCTATTTAGATTTGTATTTTAAAATTTTAATTATTTTAATTTTTTAAAGCCATATTGCAAAATATGTTGTAGTTTCAAAGATATTAAAAATGTCTGTTTCTTGTCCAGTCAGCATGGCTCAGTGGTTGAGCATCAACGTGTGAACCAGGAGGTCATTGTTTGATTCCCGGTCAGGGCATGAGCCTGGGTTGCAGGCTAGATCCCCAGTGTGGGGCATGCAGGCGGCAGCCGATCAGTGATTCCCTTCATTGATGTTTCTATTTCTTTCTCTCCCTTCCTCTATAAAATCAATTATATATATATATATATATATATATATATATATATATATATATCCTATCTAATAAAAGAGAAACATGGTAATTAGCCGTACCTCTGCTACCCTTCCCATTGGCTAATCAGTGAGATATGCAAATTAACTGCCACCCAAGATGGCGGCCGGCAGCCAGGCAGCTTGAAGCGAACAGGGAGGCTTGCTTGCTCCAGTGATGGAGGAAGCCAGGTTCCCCGCCTGCTGCTGCCGGCCTCTCAGCTGCAACTCTAAGAAACATTGTAACAAATATAGAAGCTAAACAAAACCCAGAAATCTGCTTTAGTCAGCCCGGCTTCAGCCAGCAGGACCGCAACATTGTTTCAAATACAGAAGGTAAACAAAGGCCAGAAACCTGCTTTCAGCAGCTGAGGCCTCAAAGCTGGAGCCAAGCCTCAGAGCTAAACCTGGCCCAGAATTAAAAAAAAAAAGAAGAAAAGGAGAGGTTGGGAGCTTCAGTCACCCGCCAGCCTGAAAACGGCCCTCAGCCCCTCACCCAGACTGGCCAGGCACCCCAGTGGGGACCCCCACCCTGAAGGGGGTATGACCAGCTGCAAACAGCCATTATCCCCTCACCCAGGCTGGCCAGGCACCCCAGTGGGGGACCCCCACCCTGATCCAGGACACCCTTCAGGGCAAACCAGCCGGCCCCCAGGCCTCTATCCTATATAGTAAAAGGGTAATATGCCTCCCAGCACCGGGATCAGCGTGACAGGGGCAGCGCCCAAACCCCCTGATCGCCCTGCGCTCTGTGTGTGATAGGGGGCGGGGCCACAGCCTCCCTATCCACCCTGCTCTGTTCGTGACAGGGAAGGTGCCCCAACCCCCTGATCAGCCCTGCTCTGTGCCTGATAGGAAGGCACCCCAACCCCCTGATCGGCCCTGCTCTGTGTGTGACAGGGTGCAGCGCCCCAACCACCCCCCCCCCCCACGGACCCTGCTCTGTGTGTGAAGGGGTAGAGCCATAACCTCCCCCATCGGCCCTGCCCTGAGTGTGAAAGTGGAGGCGCCCCAACCCCCTGATTCGGCCTGCTCTGTGTGTGACAGGGGGAAGCGCCCCAACCTCCTGATACGGCCTGCTCTGTGTGTGAAAGAGGGGGGAGCTCCAACCTTCCCATCAACTCTGGCTTGAGAGTGATAGGAGGGGGCTGCTCAATTCCCCAATGTGCCCTGCTCTGAGCCCGAGCATAGGCTGACCCTAGAGATTGGGCCTGGCCTTTGCCACCCGGGAGCAGGACTAAGACGACAGGTTGTTATCTCTCCGAGGGTCCCAGACTGCGAGAGAGCACAGGCCGGGCTGAGAGACTCCCCCTCCCCCCGAGTGCACAAATTTTTGTGCACTGGGCCTCTCGTATATATATATATATATATATATATATATATATATATATATATATCCAGCACATTAATATATATGTATTTTAAATGTCTGTTTCTTGCCTAGCTGGCATGGCTCAGTGGTTGAGCATCGACCTATGAAACAGGATGACAAGATTCGATTCCCGGTCAGGGCACATGCTGGGTTGTGGGCTCAATCCCCAGTAGTGGGGGTGCAAGAGGCATTTGATCAGTGATTCTCTCTCATCATTGATGTTCCTATCTCTCTCCCTCTCCCTCTCCCTTCCTCTCTGAAATCAATAATATATATATATATATATATATATATATATATATATATACTTTAAAAAGGAGCAAAGTTCAAAATGTCTTCTCATTAAATGGATTTTCTAGAGGCCATAGGTTTACTTTTCACTTACCACCTGTCCAGAAAAGTGATGGAAACCACATGTAAATACCCTCCAGCCCCTGCCTGCCTATCCTATATAAGAAAACCCTAATATGCAAATTGACTGAACAGTGGAATGACTGCTCTCTATGATGCACACTGACCACCAGGGGACAGATGCTCAATGCAGGAGCTGCCCCCTGGTGGTCAGTGTGCTCCTACAAGGAGAGCGCTGCTCAGCCAGAAGCCAGGCTCATGGCTGGTGAGTGCAGCGGCGGTGGTGGGAGCCCCTCCCGCCTCCACAGCAACACTAAGGACTCCTCGGGGGATGTTCACCTGCTGGCTTAGGCCTGCTCCCCATGAGTGGGCCTAAGCCGGCAGTTGGACATCCCCCAAGGAGTCCCAGACTGTGAGAGGGTGCAGGCGGGCTGAGGGGACCCCCACCCACCCAGTGCACAAATGTTGTGCACCAGGCCTCTAATTTTTAATAAATAGCCTCATGTGTTCTGTGAAGAGAATGTTTACTTTGTTGAGCTTGCTGCATACCATCTGGTTAGGGTAGGGTTACTGGAGAAAGAAGAGTATAAAGGTATAACACTGGCTGTTTTGTTTTTGTTTTTAATTTTTGCATTTATAGGGGACCCTGGATCTTCAAGTTACCACTGAGGTGAAGGTGGTTTGAGGGGCAGGGAGAAGGGGGGCCAGGAGCCAGCTGAGAGTAGGGGCTGGTGCCAGAGTGTGTGAATGGGGAGGACCCTCTTGCAGATTGGTGGAAACGCACATTCTGAGTTGGTGGTGGAGGAGGGAGTTGCAGTGGTTGGGAAATTGTTTAGATTTCAACGGTCTGAGTTACTAGTACTCTTGTGCACATTTGAGTGTAGCAACTCATGTGTAAGATTGCTACACAAAGTGAAAGCTAGGGTAGGAGGAGGGCATAATTTTGTTTCAATGAACATGTTCTTTATCGTTGGACTGTTATTCCAAGACAATTGATAGCTACATAAAAATGCAGGCAAAACTTATCCAATATCATCCCCGCATTGATATATTTAGTGTGTTGTCCTTATGTTGTCCTGAATATTTGGTGAACTTGGAATCTCAGAAGGGAATACCAGACGAAACACCTGACTTACCAGAAAAGGCCACCAGACCCTGAAATAGAACCTGATGACAATTCCAGTAACGATGGCTGTTCTCTCAAGGAACAATGGGACGGGAAGGATGTAATGTGTGTTTTCCTGGCTGCAGTTTCTGACGGTGTGAGGGAAGCCCCTCCTCCATAGAAGCCTGCTATGCAATGTCAGGGCAACTTGGAGAATTTGATTCAAATGTTGCCAGTGACAGCTGATATAATTAGAAAATAGTCAGCTAGAAGGAGCCCCTTTTTTCCTACATACAAAAATCTGTATATAATTAACATATACAAGCTGATGAGTTTGGAAATAAGCCAAGGCTCTAACCACTTTGCCAACCGGCCAGGGCAGTAAAAGGCAATTCCTATCTTTTACAGAAATTCCTATTTCTGTAGTTTTGGGTTTGCCTGTGAGCATTTTCTGTGGTTTTGTGCATACATATTATGACTTAGGGAATTACAGTAGTGATGCAGAGGAGGCCATGGAGGGCACTAAATATGACCTGGTTTTCTGTGACACTAGGCTTCTTACCACACTGGGAGTTAAGGAGACTGATTTTAAAGAAACTCCTGGATGTTCCAGCAGAATCGAGCTGAGCATCTGCATGAGTCTTTATGAAGGAGGAAACCTCTTCCCCCGCGAAGTTCTCACCCCACCAGCATTTTCTTTTTCAGCTTTGAAACTTTGTTTTAATGACAGAACAGCCCCACAGAGCTCTGGAGGAGGATGGGAGAGGGATGGTGTTTGGCAGATTTCAAAGCTTCTAAAAGGCTCTGAAACTTTGATTCTCCAGAAATTGCCACTCTCAGAAACATTGTACAAGGACTTAGAAATGTCTAGCATTCCCACAGCTAAATAAAACTTGACTTTAGCATGAACATCTAAGTGAAAATAATCTTTTAATACTCGCCTTGGTGTTTTGGCCGGTCCTCCATGGCATTCAGTGTCTCAGTGACGGTGGTACTGAGACTTCGGTAAATGGAGAGACTGAAATCACAAAACAGCTGGAAGAGGCCTGGACCATCCCAGCTCTGCACCAGATCAGCTTTTTTGGTTGGCTCTTTGAATAAAGCTGGGAAAACGTAAGGCTCGATTACATCTGTATCTGACATGAAATATGACCGAAAAGCCTGGTCAAATTCTCGCTCCATCTGTTTGAAGACGTTAAAACTCCTGTTAAAGAGACATCTCACGTCCACGGTCAGTTGGCTGAACATGTGCTCTATTTGGGTCACTTGTGCATCTTCCTCCAGGACCTTTTCAGCGACAGGGAGCTCTTTTTCCTTCTCTTCATGGAGAGGAAACAGGAATTGATATATCTTCCTAAAAAACTGTCCAATCTGTGGGGTTGGGGACAGAAATGGAATGGAATTTTATTTTCTTTCTGGGCTATTTTTTTATTGTAAATTTTAAAGTAAACTGACAGTCGTTCTAAATCAAGAACAAATCTGGGCAAACTAGGAACAGGTAATTCAATGGAAGGTAATTTATTAACACTCTTGTACGGGCTTTGGCTTTGACGGTGGAAATAGGATCTGAAATTCCTTTTGGTTTACGTTTGCCTATCAAAGGCCTAACAAGGCCAAGTTTTCAAGATTGTTGGCAAGCCACAGGCTGGCGGTGGTTGGCATGCCGTGGTCCAAAGGGCACAAAGAAGGCTCTGGTCTCACCTCTATCTCAGTGTCTTAGTTCTTCTCTTTTCCCCTTTGGTGGAATATCATTAGTGTCTTTATGTTCTCCTCTTTCTCATCTCATCAAAACATTCACACTGAAGTGTAGATGCCTAGTACCGCTAAACAGGTTACTTAGGATGGTTACTCGTTTGCAGTGAGCAGAGCCCTCGTAGCTGTAGTGAAAGGAATGACGCTCTAATTATAGAACTCCCTGCTCCTTGGGAGGAGTTTCCAGCAGTCACACCATGTCCTACTTCATCTATGGGACAGCTAAGTTTGTGCCAGAGCATATGGCCTTTATGTGATAGTGATATGGCTGCTACGTTGCGTGTTGTGGAACGTATCAACTACCGAACGTCACTGCTGTAGCATCTCACTGCAGTTCAAAGAATTCTCCAGAAATTCTTAGAGGACTCATGCCTTTCTCAAAAAGTAATCTGGGTGGGTCGTCTGCCTCTCCCTCTGCCGGCTTCTGTTTACCTGAATCCATTTATAAAAGCAAAGCTTTAAAGAGCCAAGAAATGTTCATGAGACCACACACTGGCACAGATAGGAACGGTCTCCCAACCTCCTGACTTCCCGCCAGTTCTTATTCCACCATCTTCTGGTGTATTCGAGAGTGGCAATAAAAACAGAGCAGATGCAATTAACAGTGGAGGCAAATTAACTTGGCATATGATCATCCTAAGGGTTGTTCCCTCTATAATTGGGTATGGCACTGCCAAGCCAGGAGCACACTCTAATTAGTGCATGCTCTAATATGCAGTGGGAAATTTCACTCCATTTCATATTCAACTCACTTCGTGAAGGGGAAGGGAAATTCAGGCCAATAGAGTAGGAGACTTTTGTGGGGCAGAGCTCATCGTATTCAGGTCACCTCCCTCTGTGATTCCCTCTGCCCAGAAGATAGCCAGGGGACAAAAAAGAAAACACGCCAGTCCTATAAGACATGCATGGGTAGGCTCAAGGGGAATACTAGTCTGTGTGTGTGTGCACATGCATGTGCAAGCTCCAATGGAGGGCAAGCCCATTGAAGGAGAGATTCAGGAGGCAGAGAAGGTCTTCAAATGTTTGGCCTCCAGGGGAAAAAATTAAAGCAGCTTGAAATCAGAGACTATAATACTATTATTTTGAGAATGCAATTCAGCAACATTTATTGGATATCTATAATGCTTTAATGAAGATAAATGGAGTATGGTCCCTGCCTTTATAGAGCTTACAATCTAGTGGGAATGTGTTCACAAATAATACATACCAGGCAGACAGCGTTAGGGTTTCATTCACACAGTGTCATTAAAGGGAGGGACAAATACTGAATGGCTGTTCTAACTTATAAATTGTGCAGACCAGGCAAATCATACATAAACATGAATGTTAGATTCTAGATTGCAAAAGGCCAATATCATATCAGGCATCTCTATTCTAAGTATTAATATAAATTAAAATTTTAAAAGTAAGTTGAAGAAGATACCTTAAAAACTTTAAAATCATAAACTCTTTTATTCCCTTACCACATTTCCCATAGAGGACCAACTAGGTTGATGGGTTGTATAAAATCTCACACAGTCACTTTGCAAGCAAGACTTGCATTCGTCCCAGGAATCTGTCAAAGACTCCTGGCACAGCCTTTCTTCCTCTTCCAGATGTTCTTGAACTTCGTTCATAAGTTTCAGGGCCTCCTAATTAAAAAGTGGAAACAAACATCCTATTTGCATTTCATGACTCTCTGTATACTTCAGTTGATTTCACTCTTTAAAAATACCCCAATTCTAGACTACTTCTTCATTCCTTCTTCAGGCCCCTGGCAGCCGACAGATCTACCCCAAAGAAAGCTTTCTCTTCGATTAAGGGCACTGATGAGTTCCTACTGAAGACTGTGAAGAGCTTACCCATCTGTTCATCTATTCACTCACTAGGTATTTACTGAGTGCTTGCTATGGGACAGACATTACTAGACGCAGTCCCTAATTTGGGGAACAACGGTAACAAGTTTACTTGTCTGTCTTCATATCTAGTTCTTGAGGGCTGTAGAAGGTAGTTTTAAGGCTTAGAAAACTGACACATTAATCTATTTCAGTTATGCCGCCTTTAATTTTTGTAAGTTTTTAACGCTGCAAGAAAGTGCAGGTCTTGTATCAAGTCTTCCTATTCATCATTCTCATTGTGGGGATGCTGTACGTTTTGCACCTTCATTCTTCTTGTCCATATCCCGAGCACGCCCCCTTGTGGCGACTTGCTGCACTTGGCCAGTCCCGCTCTGGGTGGTGAGGAGCCCAGAAGTGACACAGTCCCTAAGAACTTCAGCCCTGTCCCCTGAGCTCCTCTCAGGCTGGCCCCCCGCCCGTCCCCTGGCCTCCCTACCAGCGCGGACTTCTGACGGCAGGCTCCCTCCAGGCCCGAGGTATAGTTCGCGGGAATTATGGGGAATAATGGACCCAGCCGTTAGAAGACAGCGGCAGAGCTAAGGGCCACTCCCTTAAGTGAAAACTACACGAGGAGGCAGTTTTTTGTGCTTAAAAATAATTTAGTGTGTGTCCTCAACTAGTGAAAAAACAAGAATTCACCCTTTTCTGGCATAGGAAGCCCAAAGAAACACCTGGGCACTGACGATCTTCGGCATCTCCTTTGCTGGGCCTGCTCAGCTGCCCTCATGGCAGGATTCCGAGGCTAAGCCAGGTGGCATTTGCTGTGTCCCACATTAGGACGGGCAGGGCCCCGCCTACTGAATGTACCTTGTGACCCAGACAGGGTTTTCTTATCTCCTTTGCAGAGCAGCTCTAGAACCCTACATCTTCTCGCGGGAGGGTGCCTCACCTTGACAGGCAGCGATACCACCAGCTTTTCTCAAGTCCCAGTTTTAAATATTCTGCTCGTTGTCATCATAAATCTAAATCCCAATATTCCAAATTCCAAACTACAGTCACTGCCCTTGGGCAAATAGGAATTAAAAATAGGATCTACCTTTTGAGGTTTTGTCTTAAGTGAGATAAGCAAGCAAGGCATTAAGCAAGTTATTTGTAGTATTTCCTAGTTTTCTTCCACTGGCCCCCAAGTGCATAACAAAAACTAATACCAAATCACGTCCCAAGTTTTGGCAGTGAAATGTTGCCATGGAGGAGGTAGCTCTCTGTTTTAGGAATGCCCTGCCCATCCCTTCCATTTCCCCCCTAAATGTCTCACCCACTGACAGTCCATATCAATTCCTGTAATTTACAGCTTATCAAAGTCCCATCTGAACCTGGAGTGGGGGCAAACTAAGCCAGTAGGGTTTTCCAGTTTAGTAAGTTTCTGATGTTCTCACTGAAGGGACTGAGGAGGGGGGTTGATATGATGCTGGGTCAACTGAGGATGGGTGGTGCTCAGTACTGGGAGATGGGGGGCACCAACCCCATATATACCAATTCATAGTTTGTCTAAAGTTTCCCCTATTCTAGGTTTAAAGTAATTTTAGGAGACTTAAGGTTAAACAAGTTTTTCTTTTAAAAGATTAACTTTTTAAATTGAGTGTCCAGATCTTAAGAATGTGATTCAGCCCTAATCGGTTTGGCTCAGTGGATAGAGCATCGGCCTGTGGACTGAAGGGTCCCAGGTTCGATTCCGGTCAAGGGCATGTACCTTGGCTGCGGGCACATACCCAGTGGGGGGTGTGCAGGAGGCGGCTGGTCGATGTTTCTCGCTCATCGATGTTTCTAACTCTCTATCGCTCTCCCTTCCTCTTTGTAAAAAATCAATACAAATATATATATTTTTAAAAAGAGTGTGATTCAATGAATTTTTATACAATAAAGAAAAGTTAAAATTTTATGAGTCCTAGGATTCTTTAGGGCCAGAACTGAAACCAACCCCTGCTTACTTGACCCACCCTAACTGGAGCATTCTCTTCATAGGACTGCACCCTGGGCTTGCCAGGAGGCTGGGCAAAGGGGGAAAAACAAAGCCACTGGGGCCCACAGGCAAAGCACCAGCCGACTTTCTCCCCAGCCATTCACAACAGTGTTGGGTTAACCTGTTAACATCTCGAATCACACTTTCCTCATTTATAAATGAAAGTAATGTTTTACCCAGGTGTTGGAAGGGTTACTAGTATATGTGATAATGTTTTATTTCATTTTAGTTTTAAAAATACATTTTTATTGATTTCATAGAGGAAGGGAGAGGGAGAGAGAGATAGAAACATCAATGATGAGAGAGAATCATTGATTCGCTGCCTCCCACACTGTGGACGGAGCCTGCAACCCGGGCATGTGCCCTGAACAGAAATCAAACCATGACCTCCTGGTTCATAGATCACCGCTCAACCGCTGAGCCACGCCGGCCGGGCATATGTGATGATGTTTTACGCATGGCCTGTAAGTGACATTTGGTGTCATTAGTCCCAGAGGCCAGGCTCACAAGCCCACCAGGGAAGAGGGAAGCCCAGAGGCTTGCTTCCACATTTTCCTCAGGAAGGAGTTATTTTTCATTTCCTAAAAATCCTTTGCTTGCTGCCAAAAGGAAGGAGGGCTTTCAGCTGCTGGTCAGGCAATCTCCTTTCCTTGCTAGGGACCGCAGGATGTGGGGGTGGCGGTGTGGTGACAGGCACCGCAGCTTGTCACACAGCCCCGCTCTGATAGCTCACTGGCCCGGAGGCCACCGTGCCGGGAGGGGCAGAGAATCCCAGCAGCCACCTGAGGCCTCCACCTTCACAGGTGCAGGGAGGAAGTACTAGAACTTCTATTTGTATTTTTTAGATTTAAAAATTGACTCTGGGGAGGAAAAATTGGGAGTTGTTTGATGAGTACAGAGTTTCAGTTTCGTAAGATGGAAAGAATTCTGGAGATTGGTTGCCCAACCATGTGAATGTACTTAACGCTACTGAACTGTACGCTTAAAAGGAATGAAGATGGTAAATTTTATATTCTGTGTATTTTACCACAGTTTTAAAATTATTTAATGAAAACACATTTAAAAAGTAATTTCCTCTTAATGTTAACATTTAAAACATTTCCTAAGTTCTGTTTGTTAAAGTTTTGATCTCCTCTTTGATTTAAAGGGTAATACTGGAAAACAATTTTTAAAAAATGTTTTAATTGTTTTGAGTATTATGTTAATGGTTAATGCTATTAAATTATGAGCCACGCAATGTCTATAATTTAGAAATGTATTGAGCTTCATAATCGTAACATATGGACAATTTTTAACATCTTCCATGGACATTTGAATATAATGTGTATGCTCTGTTGGCAAGGTACATGGCTTGAACCATAGCTGTCAGGTCAAGGTATTTGAATTAAAAAAAATGGTCGGGCTGATGTACTATTTCATACCCTGGTGCTCTGTTGTGTGCTGTGTCAGACCAGTGCACAAGGCCCTCGGCCTGTGAGGAGCCTGGGGGAGGGGGGTCCTCACATCCCAGAAGCACTGACATTGGCGTCCCCTCTCTCTGTTCACTTGCAGCCAATTGCAATGAGTTGGGTTTCAGAAGACTCAGTTACATGATGATTTTTATTGTCTGTTTTAACTAAACTAGTCCTCACTAACTGTACATGAGGCTAAAAACCCAGCAGATTATGAATAATCTCAGCTCAGCAAGACAAGAAGCCAATGGCAGAGCTGACACTTCTTCGTTCTGCGCTCTTTATCGGTGACAGATAAGAATCTGACAATCTAATTGAACCTGGCACATGGGCTAAAATATTTCAAAATATCTAGATTATTTGAAATACAAACTTACATCCCCCCCCCCCCAGCTAACCACGAACCTCATCCTAAGTGTATTTTGTGCCTTGAACTACTAGTAGGTGGTAGTAACTCATGTTTTTAATTTATAAATAAATTAATACGCATAATGTTTAGGAGTGAATGCTAACAAATATTTTAGGAATAGGGATAGGAGATCAAAAAACTTTGCGGACCACTGATCTAGCCAAAAACTCGCTGAACACTTCTGACTCAATATCCTAACTCAGAAGGAACTAAGGATAAGGCATTTTTTAGAAAGCAGCATTCCCCAACAGAGACGAGTCCCCACAATTCCTGGGTCTGGAGTCCTGCAAAGGCCTATTCTACAAGGAATATGTTCTTTGAAGACATTTAAAATTTCTTCAATAAAAGCTGCTCTCCAAAAAAACTCTATTATCAGGGAAAATAAGTAAGTCATCAATTGCCCTTGTAAGTGCAATATTTATGGTCTACATATGTTTAAGAACAGATGTTATTTTCAATCACTGTACCTGTTTTTCCACTCTACATTTCTTCAGGGTTGTCATTAGATTAGTATGTTCCTCCTCTCTCCTTTCCATCATGGTTTTCATCTGCTTCATACCAATCAAAGCCTTCTTCACCTCTTCACCAACATCTGTATCGCCAGGCTCAGAAAAACCTAAAAGATATGTTGCTGCTTTTTTCTTTGAGATCTGATCAGATTACAGTGTATCTGTATCAAAATACAATGAATTCACCCATTTTTCCCATGTCTTCTAGATAGATATTTAATTGTCCTTTTATAGCATCAGACTCTGAAAGCAGATCATAATGAATTAGCTGTCAGCTGCCACGTGGACCAGCTGCCGCATGGATCACACCTTCTGTTCCTCACTGCTGAGCTCCCAGACCACTCAGAGTTCATTTAACCTCAATGTTGCCATTTTACTCAGGGCGTGTTTTCATTTACCCATTTGATTTCTTTCACTTAAAGCTCAAGTGTGTTTGTATTATAGAAAAGCTTGAATTTTCTTCACAATTTATGTTAAATACCCAACTGGGAACCTCAAACCCAGTGAACAATTTCCCTTTCTCTCAGCTTCAATTACCTTCCCCGGAGGCATCAGACCTGGAAAGTATCTCATTTAATGCAAGATTCTTTAATAACCTGCTGGACATCTCTTACCCAATTTAATAATCCCTTAGTGAGTATAAAGTTCATTATAATTCTCTCCACAATAGCCAACGTGGCTTCCTAAAGACCTCATTCTCGCCTCCAAATTTAGATCTCCCCCCAAAAGCAACGTTTTAACTCACGAATTGTTCTAAGTGTTAAGTACCCAAAACATATATTATCAAGCAAAGGTCAGAAGTTAATGAACACAGACCAACCAGATTCAATGTCATTATAACCCATTCTCTCACTATCTCAAGAATAACTGCACAGAATACTTTAGTTGTTTAAATTTTTCCAATGCTAGAAAAGAATTTCACTGTTCATTAAAACCGTGCTTAGAGGACACCAAACATCTGGATGATACCAAGAAATGCAGTCAAAAAGTTGGCAAGTTGTATCTGTGTGATAGCAAACATCTGGATATAGGAATGTTCTCAGATACTCAATTGGAATTTTCTATTTTTATCCAGATGTTTGGCGTCACGTCTACTTGGTTTGAGTGCCTCGAGAACATCTCACCATGAAACCAGAGGGCCGCCATGAATACGGTTATCTCTCCACTGTAAATCACTGTAAGTGCCAGCCGGACATGCAAACAGGACACGGCACAGATAAAGAAACTGAACATACCCTTCGGGCTTCCATGGACAGCAGCTTTGTCCTTCCAAGTAGGTGCACAGCGACAATCTTTCAACCATGGCAGATACACAATAAACACCAGGAGTGGCAGCTTCATGTTCCCGCTGTTACTGCCAAGGAAACATAAACCTGCATCTAATGCCTGCCATGGGGTTAGTTTCTGTTGGCATCCATTGAAAACACATGGTGACGCAAAGCATTTTTCTGTCTATTTTTCTTTATGACTTTAGACAATTCATAGGCCTGAGACATAGAAAACCTGAAATATAAATTATAAAAAATAAAGACAGCTCAGGCCTCCAGTTTGTTTACCTTCTTTACGACAGTTAAATAAGGTCATCACCTGAAGTGCTTGAAATGTAAGGTAACGGAGAGTATGGCTCACAGCCCCATAGAATCCAAATTCCATTTTATTTCCTTGTCAACGGTGAACTCCCCCAAACACAGAATTAGTTAAAATATACCAGAGGGATTTTCCCCCTCCAATTCTGAACCTCAAGTGAGTTTTCACCTTGATGGTTAAGTACTTTTTTTTAAAAACAACTTTATTTTTTTTTTATGAAACAAAGCAGCCGCACACATTTTCTCATAGTTATAAAACCCATCAATATATATAAATCATTCATAGTTACATGTTTTTCTTCTTAGATAATAAAATACCTTTTATATTTAATTTCATATACATTAATTATAAACACTTAAAATGCAAATGGTTAAAACTTTACAAAGGAAAGTTAAGTGAATTAAAACAACTGTATGCTTTAATAAAGTTAAACCTATAAAACGTTAGATTACCTTAATTCTTCCCAAACACACACAAAAACCTTCCATTATTTAGTCAACATTAGGAATGTCTTTTAAATATAATAATAAAATAACATCAGTACTAGTAGTTAAAAAGTTATCATATTTTACATACATCTACATCTATTATTTGAACTAACTCTTCTCTTTCTATTATGACCCTATTTAGCAAATGAAACTTTTAAATATATTTGCCACTAACTTTGCAGTATCTCTCCAGTGAGGTTACCACCAACTCCTTGAAGGACCTTCACTTTTCTCTAATTTAATTTTCATCCGAGTCAGGGATTTAGCCTTGTTCTATGAATTTGATGACACAGTTTTTAATCCTATTAACCTAACATTTTGAGATTAAGAATATGGTTTAAAATTTGGTAGGACTTAGAAAGAAACGCTAGAGGGCGCACTGTGCACATGATCAGGAACAATGACCTCAAGTTACTTTATTTACACAAATGTTTTGGTAGGACTCATTAAAGCCATAAAAATATTTTTTTTAGTTTGAAGTTTATGATATGTATATTCCTATATAGACAAACAAATTTATTTTATTGGAAGCATAAGCAACAATATGAAAGAGAGTATGTAAACTCTTAGATAAGACACTGAAGATTATTTATATAGTTGTTTGGCATTTTTGGATTAGATGCAAACACATTTTAACTAGATAAAGTAATAAAATTTAGCACATAAAAATGCAAGAGGCCCTGGCTGGTTTGGCTCAGTGGATAGAGCGTCAGTCTGCGGACTGAAAGGTCCCAGGTTCGATTCTGGTCAAGGGCATGTACCTTGGTTGTGGGCACATCCCTGGTGGGAGGTGTGCAGGAGGCAGCTGATCGATGTTTCTGGCTCTTTATCCCTCTCCTTTCCTCTCTGTACAAAATCAATAACGTATATTTTTAAAAAAATAAATTAGTTTTAAAAAATGCAATAGGTAAGTATTTCAGCCTCTCTACAATTTGGTAATTGATTAGCTGAACTGATAATGTGACGTCTTAGTAATTCATTTAAAAACAACTTAGTTGTTAGTCACCATAGCCAGGTATAGACTCTACAGCGATGGGTCCCTCTGGCTACTGAAATATGAAGATTGTCTTGGGCCCCTATGAAGGTTCTGAGGGATTAGCCAATCCATAGTGATTACGTGCCCAGTACTTTCTAAGCGGGTTAGATGGACAGTTCTGAACCGGTCTACCTGCTTTTTGAGGTCCCTGAGAAGTTGGTCCCTGTGTTTGAGCTATCTGTAGTCTGGAGTTTATGTCTGCTCCACTTGGGCACTGGGCTGGGCAATTACAGGACACACACAGAGGCCAGCTCACACCCCATTTCGGCTGTTTTAGTTGGAAACCTCTTACTGCTATTAGAGAAGAGATCAGCTCAAAGCAAAACTTGAACTATGACTTTAAGTAACCTTATTGAGCAACAACAATCCACATCTATAAATAGAGGTGTTCTGTCCTGAGAGATGACCTGATGGCCAATGGAGGAAGCAGCCCTGTAGGTATTTTTCTCAGGAAGAGAGAACACTGTTCGGGAAAGGTCAGTCACAGGAGACTATCCAGCACTACGCTGACCCTGAGAACTCCTTTCAGTAGTTTGCTGTTGTCCAAGTGTGGGCCTACTTGAGGTCATTCATGGCTGACATCTGCACACGCTTTTTCAGCAAACCCACATTTTGTTGAAAATGGAGTCATTTAGGCAATTCAGTGGCTCACCCTCTACTGGCAGGCAGACTTTTTCTGTAATCCATGTTCCCCCTTTATTTTATTTTATTTTAAGCTATATATATATTATTGATTTCAGAGAAGAAGGGAGAGGGAGAGAGAGAAACAGCAATGATGAGAGAGACTCATTGATTGGCTGCCTCCTGCACGCCCCCTACTGGGGATCGAGCCCATAACCCAGGCATGTGCTCTGACGGGAATCTGACGGGAATCAAACCCGGACCTTTTGGTTCACAGGTCGATGCTGAGCCACCACAGCCGGCGGGGTGATAGCTTGAAGTTCAAAGCTCAGCATGATCTGTACAGATGTCTGCCACACCCAGTTCCCTCATCAATTGTATCATTTTTTGTTTGTTTATGTAAATAAAAGCACATGCTGACACATTCCTCCCCCCACCCCTGCAGGTCTGTATTTTGCTTCTCACTTGGCCTCATGCTCTGAAGACCTTCACAGCATCACGCAGCTCGCTCTCGCTCTTGCTCTTGCTCTCGCTCAGAGCTGCCTGGTGTCCCAGCAGTCCGGGCGCCATAACCCAGGCCCTCCCCCCCCTCTGCCCTGCACGCTCTGCCCCGGGAGCCATGGTATATGTAGGTCGCTGTGCAGGTGGCCGGTGTGACCGAGTTACCGAGCTGGGGCTGCGGGCCAGGTCCCTGTGTCTCCCTACCTGTGGGGACAAGACAGATCCCTCCCCGATGCTGCCGCTTCCACACCCACCTCGGGGTGCAGCACCTGCTCCCAGCCCAGCCCAGTCCAGTTCCTCTGGCCTGCGGGCGGTGTGCTCATCTGCGGGGGGAGAAATGGAGTGTTAGTCTCAGTTGCATTCCTGTTGTTGGGAACGACGAAGAGCCACTGGACTGTGTGTTCTTGGAAGAACGAGCCGGACCTCTCGTCCAACATCCACCCGAACACACCAGCACCGGCTTTGGGAGGCCCCTAGTGAG